AAATGCAAACCATCCTTAGATTCAGAATTGTAGTTAGACATTTTGTTTGTTTTTTTTAAAAAAATGAGAATTTTTAAAAGGTTTAGAAACCAATTTTATGAATGTACAAAAGGTTTTAAACGAATAAATCGTGAGGAGAGAGAAGGTTTTTCGCTCGTTTTTTTATTGATAAAAAAAAATTGCTAGAAAGTTTTACGTTGAATTACGTATGTAATATAAATTAGTATTTTAAAATCCTTGAATATGATTCGCCAATAAATGGTTTCAAAGTATTCTTCAAAGTATTTGAACTTTTGCAAAAAGTATTCCAAATCAACGACGATGATTGGCCAGAAACCAAAGTATTCAAATTCCTGCAAAAGATATTCGAACTTTTAATTTAATATAGTATATATAATTGACAAAATATATATTATTATTTTACTTTATTAATTTATATATAATCTATTTTATTTTTACTTTATTAATTTATATATCTATTTTATTTTTACTTTATTAATTTATACATCTATTTTATTTTTACTTTATTAATTTATACATAGATCGACAAAATATACATCTCTATTTTATTTTTACTTTATTAATTTATACATAGATTGACAAAATATATATCTATTTTATTTTTAGTGATAATCGGTTTGAAAAACTGAATAGATAAGCTCACCAGGTTTTGTCTCTGTGACGCTCTTTTTTTTCAGCTGCCGCTAGCCTCGCACGTGCTTATCGTGGGTTGTGGTTATTAAATTGAATCATTATTTGATACGAATTTTTGATTGAGTCCCTCACCTCCCAATCGCCAATACAAATCGCATTTAATTTTTTGTAAAACATCAAATTAGTCGATTGGTTTCTTCGATGATATTACTAGCTTTATCAAGAACAAATTTATGTTGCTTAAGAAAATTGTTCCTTTTTACTTAAAACAATATCTTTGTTAGTTGAATTTTGAGTATCGATGTCTGAATTATTTGGCGATTGAAACATTTTTGAAAACAAAATTACATAAATAAATATCTAATCAGTTTTAAACTGATTAGATAATAATTAGACAATTTTTCAGGTTCCAGCCTGAAAAATTGTGGTATACCCTCTTTATTCTTAATCTTGGACGATGCTCTGCGCTTTTTCGTTCTTCAGAGAAGAACCAACTTTATTTTTTCATCAGTTGTTTCTTTGATATAACAAACGCCTCGATTTGATGATAAACAATTACAAGCAAGTTGTAATTGTTTCTAATCAATATCTCATTTTTGTCATATCTCAGAAACAAATTTAGTTTAATTTAGTTTCAATAATATTTATTAAAAAAAAAAAAAATACATTAATAATAAACTATTTGAGTTTTTTTTTTGTTTCGTTCCACATTAATTCTTTTGAAATAGGGTATAAAAATAAATTGAGATCAAGTTAAAAAGAAATAACTTTAACAAAATGGAACCTCGCTTAACTGGTGAAGAGATAGTTTTAGCTGAGAATGCTAGAATCAAATAAGAATTTACGAATTGCAACAACAGATTCATGCTTTAAATGCTGACAGAGATGAATTGGTTCAAGAAAATACATGTTTAAGAAATAGAAATCAAGAATTTGAAACAGATAATAATCAGATTCGTGCAACAAATGAAAATTTAACGCGATTAAATGACGCGTTAAAAATTGTTTTGAGAGATGCTGAAGATGAAAGAGACCATTATAGAGCTGCTAATATCAAAGAATTTGAAGATTTTATTTCGAATTATATTTTTGGGTTGTTCGATAATATTGGAACATTGTTTCGATTTAATAATCAATACACAACAACTATTGTTAATTTGTTGAGATTTTATAATTTTTTCAATATACCTATTGTGTTTCATTACGTTAAGATAATTTACAGGAAGTTTTTAATGCCAATTTTTGTCATCCCATATGTAAATCTTACAACGATGAAGAGAATTAGAGTTGTCGAAGTACTTTTTGTGAATGTTGTCACGGTTTATTGGGGGTTATGGTTAATTTTTTTTGTGTTTTCGAAGTTTAACAAAGAGTGTATTATGTTTGTATTATAAATAACAATTATAATTTATTGAATGTATTAAAATAAAATTAATCATTTATTAAAAATATTACTATCTAGAATTACAACATAAATAATTCAAGTAAATGAATCACAATTATGAAAACCAGTCGACAAACAACCCACAATGAAGTAGCCGAGTTAGCGGAAGTGAGAGTTAGTAAAAATTATTACATAAAATAAAGATTATTAAGGTTGTGAATCTCTCTCACCTCTTTGAATTAAATTAATTAATTATAAATTTAATTTTTTGGTAGTTTTTTTTTATTGTATTCAACATTGTTTGTATTGGCTTTTAGTTTTGTAAAATATTTTCACGATTTCCAGAGATAGTAAATTTAAAAATAATAAACCTGAAAAATGAAAAAAGCGCAGAGCATCATCCAAGATTAAGAATAAAGAGGGTAAAGTAAGAGTTAGTATAACAAGCGAAATTAAATTTCAGACATATATACGAGTTGGGATCCTCCTCTTACTTGTTAAATTAGTTAAGTATAAAGTTAATTCTGAGTTTGTTTGTTGAATTCTGTTGTTTTGCTTCAGTGGTTTTTTTTTCTACCGTATTTGTTATAACTTTCAACTTGGCCTCGTAATTTTTTTTATATTGGATCGCACGGTTCAGAACTGATTTGTCTTCACGATCTCCAGGAAATCGACGTCTGTGAAGCTTTTTGTTTTTATATTTTTGATATACCCATGAGTTCCGACATTTTTCATAATAAGTTGTGCGAAAAGGCACCAGAACTACCAGACTTCCAAAGCCAAGAAACCCCAAGGGTATATGTTTTCAAAACCGGAGGTGTTTGAATTTAACATTTTCCTAAACTAATTTTAGGGAGTAAAGTATTTATATAGTTTTTTTGTTTTGATACGCAGTAGATTTTTGCTGCGGCACGTGATATAAAACAAATTAAATTTCCTTTTTAAGAATAATATTTAATTTACTGCGGTTATTTTAAAAAAATATATATATATAAGAGTGTAGTAGCACATAAAACAAATACATGAACAAAAATAGAAATTCAGAACAATGACAAAAATTTCAAGGAAAACACGATTTACTAGGTTCATGTTTACGATTTTCACAGACGATTTACAAAAATATAAAGAATTAATAACTGAAAATGTTGAC